AGCGGGGACGTTGTTTGTTGGCCGATGATCGGGGGAGAGTGGCGGCGATGGCCGTGGAAAATCGATGGTGGACATGAGCACTTTACATTTTGGCGTGAATTTGGAAATTGAATTCCAAATACAAAGAAAACAAACTATAAATTTTATTTTAAATTTGGTCATATTTTATAACCAAATGCCAAAATTCTTTAAACTGATGCGAAACAGATACAATGCATCAGTACATCCAATATGTTAGTTTAAATTGCAGATGTCAGCTCCTCATTTTTATTACCAAAGATAAAGTTATAAAAATAATGCACTCAATATTAGCTCAATCTCTTGTGACTATTATGTAAATGAAGACAATATTTGATTTATGACAATCTGATGCTATGGTTTGATGATTGTGCCGCCAAGTGTTGAAGGTGACAATAGTTGTGAAACAATAACATATGGACAGCATCATTTAGGATAAGAACGGAGTGGTGGTGGTCAGACAATAATATTAAGATGGCAGTGGAAGCCGGGCAATGATAAATAGGTGACAATTGAGAACAACCAGACAATGGTTGTCGAACAGTAACAATTAGGTAATGATATTTGGACAATAATATTGAGGGGGCTATAGTTGCACGATGGTGATCATTGATGATCATAAATGTTGAACTTCAACGAGAGCTCTTCAAGTTTGCTTCAAATTCAAATTTTGGTCTTCTTCATTGAGAGAAAGTATGTCTATTTATAATTTTTAAGAGCAAAATTTTATTAAATCCAACTAAAATCTCAAAATATTCTATTAGATGACTCATGTCAATTTCTTTAATCATAATTCTTTTAGCATCTAAGTGGTGTAATAATATCAAATTTAAGTAATTTTAAGCTTCAAAGATTCCTCTCATCAAAATGTTTGATTTGAATTTAAGCATGCAAGATTTGGTAAAAATTTGTTTCGTTCAAAATTCTCAATGCGTTTTATTTTGATTCATGAGTTCCAATTGGACCACTTTTAATGTTGTTGGGATCTTTAATATTGAGACATTTGAATTTATTATAAATTAGTTGAAATCAATGTTTGTGTGACATTGAACTTGTCTCTAAAAGTTATCCAAGCTTGATTGATCAAGTGTTTTTTTTTTTTTTTTTGTGGCATGTCGAACTTGTTTATTTATTGATCATATAAGGGTTTATTTTGCACATGATGTCAAATATACAAATGCTTATTAATGTTAAATATTATTGGAATATAAGGTTAATGCATATGTTTAAGTCATAAACCCATAGTTAACCATATACGTAATAAAAATTGATTACAATTCATTAATTTATATTCATATTTTATAAACAACTACAAAGGAAAATTAAAATTAAAATTAAAGCAAAATATTATGTTATTTTCTCAAGAAAATTAGTATGGTTAAACAAATGATTATTGTGAAATCATAACAAGAATCTGATGTTAGGGGTTTAGATTCATGGATTCTCTTCAATGGTTCAAAGTTTAGATAAAGCTAAGTAGATGGAGATGACAATGTGGAGAGAGAGTGCTTGAGTTAGATATAGGAGATATAGGAGAAAGGATTTGGGAGATTTTAGTGGAGTTAGAGAAGAAAGAAATAGTTTTAGCTACCTAATAAATTAGAATAATTGTGAACTTTTGAGTGAGGGCGAGTTCTTTGAAAAGGTCTAATGACAACACTATAGGAAAGTCAATTGTTATTGACCGAAAAATAAATAGGTAAGAACTTGTATTCGAACAATAATTTTGATTTTTGGTTGAATTATGGTTGATAATCATTAGTTGAATCATTGCTTGTCAAAAGTGCTTTTTCAGCTGAAAGCTTTCCACAATAAGGGAAATAATGAAACTTGTGGTTGAATTTCGGTCGGTAAACCTACTACCTGATTTTTAGTTGATTTTACATCATTATATTATTATTGACTGAACTATCAACCATTAAACCTATTAGCGGAATTAGCAGCTGATCGTTTCACTACCAATTATGCAGTAATTTTATCAACCAGTAATAATATATTGGCTAAAAAATCAACCTAAAAACTGTACCAAAATGAAAATAATAATAGTGGTTAGCGCGGGCGTAGGGGGGGTCTTCTTCCACATCTCAGACATCTAGACAGAACTAGCTTAAACCTAAGAAAGTCGATCGAAGGACCCAATTCTAGTTTTATAGGGCCTATATATTTGATTTCTTTTTTCTATGTTTTCATTTTTGTATCGAGACAATTATCAACATCTCTTCTTCCTTTTGAGAGCTATATATTAGGGTTCTAGGTGGTGCTTCGACTATATCTTGGTCTCCAAATATTGTGCATCTTATTTATCCCCTTCCCATCCTCCTCAATCACTTTCAACCGTCCTTAATTGTTGCAACCACCCAAGATAATATTACAATTATTTTTTTTGCAGTTCCATCTGCACTATCACCATTCCCTTCCTCTATCCCCGCTTTGCTGCCTCAGTAGTTCCAACCCATCAACATCGCTACAGCCGTTATTCAACCATCATCTACCATTGCCACCACCTTGAAACACATTCAACTTGCTATTTTACTACAACCACAAGCCTTCCAGAAGCCTCCTCCTTCTCTTTTTGCTTTGCTACCATCCAAACCATTCCTTTCCAGTCTTGTTCTTGGTATTCCAACTCTCCTGCCTTGTCACTCACACTCGATACAATCAGAGAACATTGTCTTTCAATTGTTCAGCCGCTACCAACTCCTAAATCCTCACTGCTATCATCTAGGACAACAACTATACGTGTTATCCTTAAATTTTCACACCACCCCATCACAGTCACTAGCATTTACTTACTTCTTCTACACCCACCAGCCATTTCAATCCACTTAATCGTCCTCTACTACTCTTGGGATATACATTAGTGGTGTTTGCTAGTGTCTGTTGTTCTATTTTCCTTTTAAGTGTATTTGGTTATGATCATCCATTTGCTTTTAGTAATAATAATTGCAATCCTATTTTTGTTTTAGGTTAACTTCAATATTAGAGGCCCAAGCCAAGCAAAATTTACACACCTGCAACCAAAAAATGAAATAAATAATAACCATATTCACAACATCTTAGAACATTATAAAAGAACTCATAAATTTAACTATAATAAATGAAATCATGATAAATATAATAACAAATATCAACAAATCATTCGATCTAGGAGTATCTATAGAATAAATAAAATAGTATAAATAATACTCTACACAGATTAAAAAAAAAAACTACTCATCCTTTTAAATCTTAGATCACTTTCCACTCAAGTATCTAGTGCTACAAATGCTCAATCTTGATCTCGAGCCTCTTGACATTGACATCCTTGAATTGCATTGTCACCTCTATTGAGGACTTTTACCTAGACTCCATCTCAAGTAGATAAAAGATGAACCCGCAACTCATCGGAGACTACGTTCACAAACCTGGTGACTTCATCGTCAATCAATGATGACCTATCATCAAAGATGGAGTGTCACACATCAAAAAAAAAATTCATATGTGTCGATGTGGTAGAACATCCCCTACTTCCTCCTCTAGGCATCTTCTCTCTAGATATTAAAGGTTGAGTGGTCAGACATACCATAAAAGACCAACTTCAATGGGGCTCTGAATCCGAACATCCTTCAAGCAAACATACTCATCCTATAGAAGATTATAAATGGTAAATATCATTGAAATAAATTTGTAAATAAATTCTTTAAATAAAAAAAAAAGTATTCAACGTATGTGGACATGCCAATATCTATCATTGACCTACCATTAGTCTGAGTGATGCTAATGTGTATGGACGTGCAACTCGAAGACTGTGGGCTCCCATCCAAACATCTGTCTCTATTAACATATAAAATGGTTAAGAATAAATAATTATAGAAATAAATTTAATACATTGAATAAATCTCATTATCATTCTCCTATACTCGGTATGGGGGAACCAAACCTCCGATGTATAAGGAGGTATCCATGCACCACAATATGAGGCTTGGTTTTACTATGCTATATGCCTCTTCCTAAGATATTGAAGAGATATCAGGCTTTGCACAACTCAACCTAAGCATTCTTCCTTATCAAGATAGGCCT